TCTACCCCTTCCCTTTGCCATCTTAAGCTGACTTTTTAATCATCTCCCTTCCCATTCTTGTGATCTCTCCCGTCCTGATTTGAGGGAGACTTCTCCTGGGCTTGTTGCTCATGCTCTTGACCCCCTTCTCATCCCATCCTCAACAGCCTTTTCCCACCATCTCTGGCTTTGTGTCCCCCCCCCCCCCCCACTTCCTGACTTCTTTCATCTGCCATCATTTTTCTTCCACTTTCACATCTTAATTCTTTCTCATTCCCACCATAGGCCCTTATCTCCTCCTCTCCCATTTTTTCCTGTTCATAACCTGCATCTTCTCCCACTTCCATTCCTACTCCCTCCTTTACAAATGCTTCCTCCCTTCCTGACACAAGGACACCCCCCACACACACTCACACACACCTTTTCCCCTTTTTCCTCAAAGCCTTCCACCTGAGTCAGGGGCCCCTTCTTCTCTGGACCCTAATTTTATTCTCGATGATCTTGACTCTAGGCTCAAACACCCCCTCCCCATTTTGACTCCCAGCAAGATTTGCACACCTTGCCTCAAACCCAGCTTTCATTCCTCATCTTCCTCCCCTCCCTATTTCTCAGGGATTCTTAAAACCCTTTACATATGAGATTAAAAATAAATGTTAAAATGCAGATATTAAGCCAAACCGGTTTGGCTCAGTGGATAGAGCGTTGGCCTGCAGACTGAAGGATCCCGGGTTCGATTCCGGTCAAGGGCATGTACCTTGGTTGCGGGCACATCCCCAGTAGGGGGTGTGCAGGAGGCAGCTGATCTCTCTCTCATCGATGTTTCTAACTCTCTATCCCTCTCCCTTCTTCTCTGTAAAAAATCAATAAAATATATTTTAAAAAAAGAAAAACTGGCTCTTTAAAAAAAATGCAGATATTAAAATTTTTAAACATGCTTCTCTTTCTAAATAACTCCCCTCCCCCACACCTAGTCATGGCTGGCTTCTTTTTGTTCAGATTTTCTCCTAAAAGGCAGCTTTCTGAGAATCCTTCCCTGCCCACCTCATATAAAGGGGTCCCAACCCTGACACAGGTACCACAGTAGTTTCTGTGTTACAAAGAGCATTTCACATTGTGAAATCTTAATGTATGTGTTGTCTGTTTACCCATCTGGGATTGGTGCTCCGTGAAAGGCCTCATCTTTCCTGTTTACCTGGTAGGTACATAGTGGCTCAGTCAGTGTTTGCTGAATAAGGTCGTGATTCCTGGTGCCAGACACTGTGCTAAGTACTCTGTGTTATCACGTCATTTCATCCTTATAACAAGCCTGATTGAGGTAAGTTCTTTCATTATTGCTATTTTATACCTTAAGAAACAAGTGCAGAAAGGATAAGAGCATTTTGTCTATTGTCTCAAAACAACAGGCCCTACCCGAGAATCTCATCCTCTCATTCGTATCTGTGTGAAGTCACAGCCCATGTTCCTTTCACTTCATCTGGCAATGCAGAGGGAAGGGACCGTTAGGAACGGAAAACAAAGGAAGGGAAGATGGTCTGAATGCGAGGTACATCAGATCAGGGTCGGGCTCCTGCCCTGGGGCAAGGAGTGCAGGGAGGTGCAGTATAGAACACAAGGACCTAAGTGAGGGTGAGAATAGTGAGAGCTAACATTTACTCCCTTTGTGCCAGGCACTGCTCAAAACAGTATATTGAATACTCACCTGGGAGTTGTAGGTGGTATCATTTCACAGATGAGGAGTCTTGGCTCAGAGATGTTAATTATCTTCTCCAGGATCAGACAGTTAGGATATAGGGGAGCTGGGATATGACCAAAAGCAGTCTGACGACAGAAAGAGTATTCTCATTGCGACCCTGCACTCTCCCCAGCAAGAAAATAACCGGATTTACAGGACTAGTGTGGTCCACGCTGGGCACCAACTCCTGCTTCCTGGATTCCTATTTCCTTTGTGGAACGGCCTCAGCCAATGTCACACGCCTGCCTCTGCCTGCTCTCCATAAAGAAGGTGGCTGATGGCTTCCGCTCATCCATGTTACTGCACCAGCACCAGGAAACCTGGGGTTGGCAGGGCAGCGATCCTGGGTCAGTGTAGTCACAGACAGACTCCCTGGGGTGGGAGTCCAGGCTTAGACTGAAGCATCAAGGGCAAAATGGAGAGCAAGCCCTCTGGCTAGAGATCTTAAAAAAAGCAGTCTCCAATCAGCTTTATTCCCCCCAAAACTGACATTTTGATCTAAAAAATAAATAAATAAAAGGCTTCCTTGATTCAGTGCTGGCAGGAGTGAGGGTAGCAGATCAGAGAGCGAGGCTGGAGCGCAGTGGCACCGGCTCACACAGTCTCCTCCAGCCCTAGGAGCCTTAGCCAAAACCAGCAAAGAGGGATTTCCTCTCAAAATAGTAAGATTTGCATAAAAAATACAAGGGTGGCCCTATCTGGTTTGGCTCAGTGGATAGAGCGTCAACCTGTGGACTGAAGGGTCCCAGGTTCAATTCCGGTCAGGGCACATGCCTGGGTTGTGGGCTCGGTACCCATTATGGGCGTGCAGGAGGCAGCAACCAATGATTCTCATCATTGATGATTCTCCTTTCCTCTCTGAAGTCAATAAAAATATATATTAAAAAAATACAAGGATGACTAAGTTCAGCATCTTTCCCACCCTCATCGTCCTTTAAAGGCTTAAGAGTTCTGGAAATTTCCTTGAAATGTGAACAAAGGGAGCTGAGAGGCAATACCTGGAACTTGTTAGAAATGGAAACTGGCCCTGCCCCAGACCTACTGAATCAGACTTGGTGCCTGGGCCCAGCGTTCTGCATCAACAAGCCCTCCCGGTGATCTAGACACACAAAGGTTTGAAAAATCACTGCCCTGGGAAGCATCTCTGAGCCTGTCCAATGTCTGAGCCAAAATGTCTGTCTTAGAGCCCTGGGAACCGCTAAAAGCACTAGCATCTCAGCTTCTAAACTACATGCCTCAGAGGGCTTCTTGCGCCCAACAGTGGCACTTACATCCTTTATTTGGATGAAAGGCACCAGTGTCATTGGAAAACATGGCCCCTGTAAGGAGCTTTCACGGGGTTTTGGACGGGGCCCATGCCTTCTGCCAAGGATTGCTCTGAGAGTGCCCTGCGGCCTCTCCCAGGGTGTGAAGAGGCAGAGGGGGTGACCGAGGCAGAGGAGGAGAGTGTGTCTACCTCAAACCCCTCGTCTTCCAAACTGTTCAAAACGCACATCCTGCAAATTGTTAAAGTCCTAGATGCCACTAAGCTGCAGAAAAAGGGGTAATACAATGGCAACTGTTATGTATATTTTACCACAATAAAAAGGGAGGGGGGTGGCATCCTACACTGTCCAGAGACACTGTTTCAGGGCCCAGCATTTTGTTCTTTGCTTGAACAGGATTCACAGAAGGCACTAGGAATACTGGTCTTGGTGACAGCGTCCCTGTATTCATTCAGTTCATATTTCTTTGTGTTTGTTGAACACACACTGCAGGTAGCATGGGGAATCCACTGATGTATGAGATATGGTCCGTGCTCTCAGGGAACTTGGTCTAATGAGGCAGACAGAAGCCAGGGAAACAGAATAAGTACTAACTGTGCTAAAAGTACAGGAAAACAAACTGAGTGCCAAGATAGAAAATAGCAGGGCCCATTTCACGGAGGTGCATGGAAGAACTTTTTGAGAGACGCTGAAAGATGAACAAACAGGAGCCCGCAAAGCAAAGGTGGCCAGGAGTGGTCCAGGAGAAGGATATCACACAGGAAAGACCCAGGGGGCAACGTCGGGCTCGTGTCAGGTAAACACATGAGCGACTTAACAGTGAAGGACAAATAGTTCACCTTGAGCCCTGGCCGGTTTGGCTCAGTGGATAGAGCGTTGGTCTGCGAACGAAAGGGTTCTGGGTTCGATTCCGGTCAAGGGCACATACCTTGGTTGCAGGCTCCTACTCAGCCCGGGCCCTGGTCGGAGCTTGTGCAAGAGGCAACCAATTGATGTGTTTCTCTCACAGCAATGTTTCTCTCTCTCTTTCCCTCTCCCTTCCACTTTCTCTAAAAATCAATGGAAAAATATCCTCAGGTGAGGGTTAACAACAACAAAAAAATAGTCCACCTTGACTCTTAGCCACCTGCGTTTGCCTCTGATATATTTTGGGGGCAAGCAATGTCTGAGCCGTTAGGGAAGCAACTTTTTCATTCAACCACTAACACTTTACAGCCTGGCGAAGAAATTAGAAAACTGCTGTTCACCTCCACAATCTGTTTTCCTATGCTTGTCCTTCCTCGGAGGGGCCACCCAGCCCTGGACAGCCTGTGTGGAGAGCTTGGTTTTCAGCACAGGAAGGGCAGTCTCCGGTTGGCAGTGACCAGGCAGTGGGGCAGCCTGCTTTCCTCGGTGGGCACTGGAGCTGTTCAGCCTGGTTCAAGTTCTGGCTCTCCCTCTCCCCAGCTGTGTGACTTTACGCATCTCTCCATACCACTCCCCTCATGTGTAAAAGTGGAATGTCTGAGGTTCCAACGAGATAATATATTTTAAACACTTAGAATAGTACCTGACTCCTAGAAGTACTCCATAGACAGTAATCACTTAAGTATTTTGTTAGCCCTGGCCAGGTAGCTCGGTTGGTTGGAGTGCTGTCCTAATATACCAAGGTTGTGGGTTCAATCCAAGGTCAGGACACATACAGGAATCAACCAATGAATGCATAAATAAGTGGAACAACCAGTCCATGTTTCTCTCTCCCTTCTCTCTAAAAGCAATCAACAAATAAAAACGTATGCTAAAAAGGAGCCATGGGTCCCAACACTTCTCTACTGCTTAGTTAGGCTGGAATAAATTGTTTTACAAACTTTTTTTAAAAGTGTGAGAGTAAGTGGGCCACTTGTAGAACATTCAATAGAGCGCTCGGACTTTTGTCCAGATCACTATCATAACAGCTGCCACACGAGGAACCAAGTAGCCAGGCTAGAGCACATGCTTAATAACTATCAGGGAAGACCATCTGAAGTGTTTGCTATTTCTAGGAGAAACTTATTTGTGGCAGGCATGCTACTTGCCTACCCGAAACCCATTCTTCCCCTTTTCTTCAGTTAACAAACTCCTGGTTTTCTTTGGGGCAGTAACATGCCCAGCTAAAAGTCTTCCCCATACCCCTTGCAGCTAGGAGTGGCAATTTGAACCAGTTCTGGCCAGTTAAAAGTCAGCAGAAGTTACTGGGTGAAACCTCTTGGAAAGCATTTCAGAAGAAGCCAAGTTGGATGGCATCTGCCTTTTGTCTCTCCTTTTCTCCCCCTTTTCCTATCTGGAATGGCAGTGATGCCTGGATATGCAGCAGCCATCCAGGACTATGAGGAGGAAGACTATACACCAAATAAGGCAGAACAGAAAGACCGAAGGAGCACTAGCCCTTGGCTTATTACCCCTGAACTTACTGTTAAACAAGAAAAAACAAACTATTTGATTAAACTTCTGTAGTTGGGTTTCAGTTACACGCAACCTAACACAATTCTTACAAAAAGGGCCAAAGTGCTAACCAAGGCATACACACTGTTTCTTTAGCCAGCCAGAGACAAAGCTGGTGACGGAACAGTGGTTAGTGGGTTAGGTATTCTCCTTACCCTTCAAATCCCTCTGAACCTGGACATGGACATAAGAATGAAAACTGGATCAAGAAGGCATTCTTCAAATTGAAACGCTTTTATTAGAACACTAATAATTGCAGATAAAAAAAAGTGAAAACAAATGCTATTATTGATTAGGCAAATTAGTTGGAAGGAAGATTTCTGCAGTGTATACAAAATGTAAACATTTGCCCTGGGATTTCCCACAGTTGGCACAGTCCATAAGGACTTATTTGGAACAAAAATATGTCTATCAGTATAGCCTCTACAATGTCTGTGAACTTGCTCCATTGAAAGTTAAAGTTCCGAGCACACCCCAAATTTTCTATGCAAAAAACTAAAAATGGCCACCAATCAAGGCAAATTGAACATCAACTGCTACATGTGGAGGCAGAGGCATGGAAGCAAATCAGTCTTCCAACAGTGAGCTCCCACTCACCACACTAACTGTATTTACATTTACCTTGACAGAGATTACAAAAATATACACAGTATATAAAACCCCTGCTTGAGTCTGGGGTAGGTGATGAAATATTTCTTGCTTATCAAATGCTCCATGCTCCAGAGAGAGGCATCAAATCAGTCACTTGGACTCAGGGGGAGACTAAGAAGAGGCCCTCTTCTGTTCAGAAAATGGAGACTCATAAACTTCCATGGGTGGGCAGGTACAGACCAGGTGCTGGTCGCCATAGATGTCATCGATCCGGGCAATGGTTGGCCAGAATTTGTTCTCTGGTTTCACAAAGGGCTGTAAGAACAAAGGATGAAAAAAATATTCTGCCATATTTTGAGAGGTTTATCTTGTGAGAGGATATTACCATGATACTCCCACAGCCTAGTATACCACTAGCCCAACAAGTACTCAAAAAGTACAAGAAGCTAGCCCTAGCTGGTTTGGCTCAGTGGATAGAGTGTCGGCCCACAGACTGAAGGGTCCCATGTTCGATTCCAGTCAAGGGCATGTACTTGGTTGCAGGTTCAATCCCTGGCACTGGTCGAGGCACATACAGGAGGCAACCAATCGATGTGTCTCTCTACATAGATCTCTCTCTGTCTCTCCCCCTCCCTTCCACTCTCTAAAAATCAATGGAAAAATATCCTTTGGTGAGGATTAACAAAACAAACAAACAAACAAAAGTATAAGAAACTAAAAGCTTGTTCTCGTCCCATCAGACAAACTATACAGCATCTTCTCCTTCATACAAGAACCATAAAAGAAAAAGAAATAGTCCTAGCCGGTTTGGCTCAGTGGATAGAGCGTCAGCCTGCATTCTGAAAGATCCCAGGTTGTGGGCTCGATCCTCAGAGGGGGGCTTGCAGGAGGCAGCCGATCAATGATTCTCATCATTGATGTTTCTATCTCTCCCTCTTCCTTCCTCTCTGAAATCAATAAATATGTATATTTTTTAAAATGTGACATAATACATTTTTTTAAAAAAGAAATAATTGCATTTGGAGCCATCTCACTATTGGATGGTGGTAGAAAACATCTACTTGACAAGGTCTCCTACTGGGACTTCCTCCACTGTGTGCCCTGGCAGATTCTCAGACTCTGACTTCAGAGACGTCTACACTCCGAGGACTTCCCTTGTCAGGGCCCACCTTTCACAATGTGTCCCCCAGATAATTACTATGAGACTGTAAGAGTGGGAGCCCCTCCGAGTAGGCGATGGACCCTCGCAGGCACGTGGACACTCTCACAGCTGGCACAGTCAGCTTCCGAGGAGAACTTACGAGTGGGAAGGCTGCCACCTCTCTGGAATACGGCCGATCCCAGTGCGAGGATGTGACGCAGGTCAGGGAGTGTGGAGACATCTGGGACAGACACGGATGGGAGAGGGATCAGAGCAGAACACCGCCTTCTCCCCCGTCAGGGAGCTTCTAACGGAAGCCCGTGGACAGAGGAGGCTGTTGTTTTGTTTCACTTTGGGGGGAAGGAAATCTTGGTAGGAAATTTTTTATTGTGAAATATTTCAAATATCAAAAAGTTATGGTAATATAATAAGCACATCTACTAACCAACATCAATCCACATTTTGTCATATTTGCTTAACCTTTTAAAATAAAAAACACTGGAGGCAGTTGAAGCTGCCTGGATTTCCCCTCTCCGCCTCATTGTTTGCCCTTCTCCCCAGGGATGACCACTATCTTGAATTTGGTGTTCACCAGTCCTATCATGTTTTTATATTATTATTGCGTATATTAATAAACAGCGTATAGCATAGTTTTTAAACCATGTATCATCCTATGAGTATTATTCTCCACTTGCTTTTGTAACACAGTATTATGTCCTTTAGACATCTATTGTCATTTTAAAAACAGCCTAAATCCTGAGAGAATCAGCAGTAACCAGAGTAAAAAAAAAAAAGTACAAATGATCATATTGTCTTCCTTCGTTACCCTGTCAAACTCACACTAAGTTACGTACCTGCCTTCTCCTGCCACCCATTGGCCCCCGCACTCCATCTTCTGCTGGGCAGTTTTAAAAGTTGCTCAGCATCTCAGAAGTGTTGTCCGGCTTGGAGCCATAACAACACAACCACAGCCTTCATGGTGTTCTCAATTCATGCTACCCCGGCTTAATATCTGGACCCAATGAGAAACTTAGAGCTCTCACTAGATATGAAATAAACATATTGTAGAAGAGGCAGGATAATGCCTAACAAATTGTTCTCCAACATAAGCCACAAACACTATAAAACATTCAAGGAACAATCCAGTTGTTCTAAGAGGTAACTGCTTGTCTTTAATGTAAGAACTTACCTTTACCCTGAGTTTGTGAGGTAAATAATCTCACTGGATTGCACCAAACAGGGACACAGAATAAGACTTCCTCAACTAAATGGAGCCCTCAGGCCTCTGCTCCCTCTGTGGCAACCAGTTGGGTGCATGTGGTGTGTAGCTGCCACAACCCCCAAAACAATGACATAAACAACGTTAAGACATAGAAAATATCTACATTACACTTGAGTAACAGCCATGTTCAAGATTTAAACTTCCAAGTAATGAATGCATCATCTCAGAAGAATGGCCTTGATTCTAGGCAAGAATATCATCTTCTGATGAGGGAGCTCGGAGCTTGCTGACACACTGGCCCAACCATTTTATCCTCTATGGGACTTTTTGAATAAAGTCAGTGCCTACAGACCTTCAGTGGATTGACCTGGGGGTCGATGCGGCCCTCCTCAATGTCGGCGATTTCCTGCCGAATGCTTATCATGGCATCACAGAACCTATCCAGCTCTGCCTTGTCTTCCGACTCAGTGGGCTCAATCATGAGAGTCCCTGCCACTGGCCAGGACATGGTAGGGGCATGAAATCCTGCAAGGGAGACCGGAGAACATGTGACATTAATTTTGACCTTCCCAATTTGGAAGAGACACTCTCACATCGATGTTTCTCTCTGTCTCTCCCCCTCCCTTCCACTCTCTCTAAAAATCAATGGAAAAATATCCTTGGGTGAGGACTAACAAAAAAAGAAAGGAAGGAAGGAAGAAGGGAGGGAAGGAGGGAGGGAGGGAGAGAGGGAGGAGAGGAGGGTGGGAAAACACTATCAAGGCTGGAGATAGTAAAGGACTTGAAAGTTTGGAAGTACTAGATGGTAACTTCAATTACCACCTCCCTCCTGGCCCCTTCTCTCTCTCCCTCCAAATGCTGCTGCAGTCAGACATGAGATGCCAGGAGTCTGAGTCAGGTTATTGGAAGAGTCGTGAGGAGATTCTGATGAGGCAGCTGCTAATTTTATTAATGAAACCACTCTCTGGCTCTCCCATTTATTATCAGTATAACTTTGCATAATAAGATCATTCATTTGAGAGAGAATGAGACACACACACACACACACACACACACACACACACACACACGGGACTCCCATTAAGATGCAGTAGTAAACCTACTAAATTATTAAAGTTTTCATTTTACTTATTAAAAGAAGTCATTCAAAATCATCATTAAAATTAAGATGGGACTCCACATCCATTGAAAGGCAAAGTTCTCTTCAACTTAGCCTTTCTGAGAATTGAAGGGTCTTTGATATTATTAATAATGTCACTAAGAAAATGTATTTTAGCCGAAACCGGTTTGGCTCAGTGGATAGAGCGTCGGCTTGCGGACTGAAAGGTCCCAGGTTCGATTCCGGTCAAGGGCATGTACCTGGGTTGTGGGCACATCCCCAGTAGGAGATGTGCAGGAGGCAGCTGATCGATGTTTCTCTCTCATCGATGTTTCTAACTCTCTCTCTCTCTCCCTTCCTCTCTGTAAAAAATCAATAAAAAATATATATAAAAAAAAGAAAATGTATTTTAATAAGGGCTGTGCTGAGCAAACATCCACTAATATACAAAGGGCCTGCGTCACTTAAAATCCTTCAAAGAAAATTGTGTCACCGCTGTGAAAACATATGCCTATTCCTCGTCTCTAGAAGCAGCGGAAACAGCTGTGTCATGCCTGAAATGGTTGTAAATATGAATATAAAATGCCACTTGTCTCTAACACTTCCACAGGTAACTTGCTCCACTTCTTCCCCCATTATACCACCTTGCCTCTTCATGGACCTCTCTGTGTACCAAGAGTGGGAAAGAAATAAGATTTACCAAAAACATGGGTAGAGAACAACAATCATTTTCTTTGGGATTTTTAATTTTGTTAACTATGCAGACATCTTGGCTGCCTGGAGTCAAGATGCATGACTTATCTTTCAAAGGGCAGTACAAATGCAGTCATAAGGGGGAGTTTTTTCTCTATCACTTCAAAGGTTGCCTAGAACCCTGGGCTCCCCACTTAGCCTACGGATCAGTTTCCTGTGGTGACTGCACATTCGGTTTGTGCCTCCAGGAAGTGGTCCACAGCCAGCTCCAGCATCTGTGTGAATGTCAAAAGCCCCAGTCCGTGTCCCCCTACCCCCGCCCCTACCCCCCCCTACCCCCCGCCGGCCACCTACCAGGGGTCACTCCCAGGAGGCCACTCACCATAATCCTGAAGCCTCTTGGCCACATCCACAGCCTCAATATTTGCAGACTTTTTGAAGGGTCTTGTATCCAAAATAAATTCATGAGCCACATAACCTGTTAGGGAAAATTGTTTCATCTCGAGATTAGCATCAGTTTGTTGTTTTACACAAGCAAATGGGCAAATAAATCAGCCTTATAATGCATGTTGAAAAGCATGGGCACTTGGTGAGTTTATAGGTGGAAACAAAGACTTCCTCGTTCTTACTGCGAATAAAAATGTTTAACATGCCAGGCCAATGTATCCGATCCTTAGTGCATAACACACCCTTGAGCCAAGAAGCTAATGGGAGGTGGGACTTCGGTGCTACGGCTCCGCTGAAACATTCAACAGAAATTTCTGGGGATGAGATTACTTCTAACCTAAAATCTAGTTGCAATAGTCATCGCAGGCCTGATCCTATATACAAAATATTTCTAACGCTCAAGATCCATTGACACCCTTTTCAGGAACTTTCCCCCCAACATCCAGTAACTGTTTCTTCTGTCTGTGTGCAAATATACTAAACATATATCCATAAGACACAGAATTTTATGTGGTTCTTCAAAGGGGCTTTTGAAGTTTCGGTTTCAGACTGAGAATTAGAAATAAGAGTTGTCAAAGCACACACCACAAGTGGCAAGGGGTTGATAAGGCCAGAATCTCTGAGGGGTCTGTTCACTTGTTCTCGTATAGAAACGATCGCCTCGCTATGCCCAGGCTGCTGTCTCCCCAGCATGAGCTGTTGACCACCCATCCATCATCAAAAACACCAAAGTTAAGTCAGCATTTCCATAAATAGAACAACATTCCCGGGAGCTTCCCAAATGCCATGCCCACACAACAGATGAATTTCCTTCAAGGAAAGCATCTACACATGAGATAATAATGTACTCTTTCTTAATCTGCTTTGCTGATTTTCAGCAAACAATGAATTACTTAACAGGTCCTTGGAGCAGACAAGTCCTCAGCCTAGAGAATAGCTCCAGTCCTTAGCAGCCCCTGAATATAGTCTGTGAACGGCTCTGCTTTTTATGTAGTGAACACATATGGATAAACTGGTTTTGTTTGAAATAAAAGTATGAGATCCTGAGGCTTTGAATAGACTGTTACTGCATGCTTACTTTTAACGCCTGCTTTGTAACAGTGATGGCAATTACATTTGTGAGGAGTGTGACTCCAAAGTAGGAAGTTGTATTCATAGGTGTGGGGGGCGGAAAGTGCCAGTTGAAATGATCAGGGGGAAAGTCATGAGATTCAAGTCCTCATCAACTATTAATTCCAAGAATCCTAAATGCCCTATTACGCTACTCCATTTGGGAGCCCAACCCTTGACCTTTCTTCGCTGAGCCTCTGGCAGCCAACCCAGCATTGTGACAATGACTTAAGGAAGGAGACTAATGTTCTAAAGCAGCAGTCGCCAACCTTTCGGACCTCACGGACCACCAGTGGTCCATGGACCACATGTTGGCGACCACTGCTCTGAAGGACACTCAGCGGCAGCGGAGGAGGAGGAGAGGGACACATGAGGGTGGAGAGGAGTTGCTCTTGCTGGTGGGCAGGGAGCAGAATCTTCCAGAGGTTCAGTAATCGCTGAAAGGCCCCATCCAGCCCAGCCCTGCCCAGCCCAGCCGAGCGCTGCTAACACCAAGGCTTCTCCGCAGAGGCCCCCACCACAGCCTAGTGGTTTGGGAAGAGCTCCATTTTCAAAATGAGGTTCAGATGTTATTTTCTAAATCCATCGTCTAATGCATTCAGATGGAAACGGTAGTGGAATTTCAGCATCTTTCTCTCCCCCGCTACTGAGCCCGGCAAAGGGTGAAATTTAAACTTGGTGGCTTTTGGAGGCCAGATCCCAAGATGTTCATCTTTGTTTGCAGTTTTTAAGAAGGAAAGATATACAAACCTTCTATGGTATAGGGTGAGTCGGGGCAATCTGAAGTAGAAATTGTATAAACTGATCAGCACAAGTTTTCACTGAGTAGGTGTTTCGCTGGGCCTGACCATGACTATCACTGAGAGTCTGACTAGACAGCAAGTCAAAGGAGCAAGGAGAGGAAGGGGTGGGATGATGGAAAAGCAAAATAAAAATGGCTTGGCTCCAAGCTTGGAACATGTCCCTTCCCAACCCCCGGAAGTTAATTATCTCCCAAGGCTACAAAATGTGCTCCAGAAAAAAAAGGACTTTTCAAAACCCCCCTTGAGCTTGGCCAGTGTTGCTCAGTGGTCAACTTCTGAACCAGGAGGTCACGGCTTGATTCTCGGTCAGGGCACATGCCCGGGTTGCGGGTTTGATCCCCAGTGGGGGCCGTGCAGGAGGCAGCGGATCCATGATTCTCTCTCATCATTGGGCCTCAGGAGGTGTTTCTCCCCAGCCAGGGATCTGAGGGCCTAGCTCCTGAGGCCCATGTCCACCCATAAAGGCCACAGGGAAACCTATTCAGGGGCAGGAATTTCCAAGCAGCGTTAGGTTTGTCCAAGGACAAAACAGGACAGGCATTTAAGAATTTAAACCATAATTAAAACAATGGGATATGAACAAAATTGTCTACTCCACTGACAGGAACACCATTTAGATTAAAAAGTGACCTTAGCCTCCCACAAGAGTAGACACTTGTGAATTTTTTAAATTTCTCCTTTAAAAAAGTATCATTTTACCTGAGGTAATTCCTTTCTTTCCATATCCTAACAGAATAAATACTGCTGCTGCTCTCCATCCCAATTCCTGCCTGCCACTCCTCTGCTTCACAAAACTATAACCCTCAACCGTTTAGCTGGTATTTTCAAACTCTCAAAGAAATGGTTCATAAAGGGAAGCCTGGAGTTCATTAAAATTGTTGCCTCATAGTCATGGGTAATTCTGAAGTCTTTTTAGAGCTAGTAAATAGGAATAAAATGAATAACGGTCTTCGGATATTGCCATTAGACATTTTGGAATACAATATGTTTAAAAACATTTTCTATTTTGGGCCCTTGGGAGATAAACTGATAATTCTTTTCTAGGCCTTAAAATACAAAGCCTCAAATTGTATAATGAATGTGTTTACCAAACCAAACATGAGACAATTTTTGGTTTCATGAACTTTGGGATTGGGTAATAAAGTCTGTATTCACCAGTCCTTTTCTGCTTGGGATGATAAATAGGATTCATTATTTAATTCTGGGGTAAAATGTCAAAACAAACGGAAAATGTTATCTGTCTTTTTATGCTGCAAATCCCTAGGACTGGGACCATCTATGCCCATAGAAATCACTTAACTGCTAAGCACATGGTGGGCACCTGAGAAATGCTTGCTCACTCTCCTCTGTCCTGGAGAGCCGCCCATCCCCCACAGTCCAGGCAACAAGCATTCCTGCTGTAAACAACTACTAGTAAACCGGGCATCACAGTACTCTGCGCACTTACTAACAACCACCGAGTTGTACATTTTAAGTGAGCGAGTTGCATGGTACGTGAATTCTATCTCAATGAAGTTGTCAAAGTTAATCATAAGGGAAAATGTCAATATAAAAAAAATTAAAAATAGAAAAAAACAAATATTGATAAATTATAGCACAAATATGGTGTTTTACTCATCAAGTTGGCAAAGATACTTTGGTTTAGGTTTGCATTGCTTTTTTGTGCTCACTAGGCCCTGGTGCCATGGTTATTCTCATCTATTAACTGTGAGAAAATTCAGTGCAAAGTCTCTCGGAGGACAACTACGCCCTCTGTATCAAGAGCTTCAGTGAGTTGATAGCCTCTGAGATAATAATTTCTCTTCGGCAACTAACCTAAGGAAACAATCAGAGATTTTTTTTTTAATCCAAGAAATTCAAACAACTCAGGGAAAAACCTATAGAATTGCTGAAATTGTGGTATACCCACACAATAGAATTGATGCAGTCACTTTCAAAGAACATGTAATGGCATGGGGAAGTAATCACAATATAAAATAAAGTTAAAAAAACAAACAAACAGGACACAAGCCCTAGATGGTTGGGCTCAGTGGATAGAGCATCGCCCTGCAGACCGAAAGGTCCTGGGTTCGATTCCGGTCAAAGGCACGTACCTCGGTTGCAGGCTCCTCCCCAGTCCAGGCCCTGGTCCGGGCCCATGCAGGAGGCAACCAATTGATGTGTTTCTCTCACATTGCTATTTCTTTTCTTTTTTTAAAATATATTTTATTGATTTTTTACAAAGAGGAAGGGAGAGGGATAGAGAGTTAGAAACATCGATGAGAGAGAAACATCAATTCAGCTGCCTCCTACACACTCCCTACTGGGGATGTGCCCGCAACCAAGGTACATGCCCTTGAACAGAATCGAACCTGGGACCCTTCAGTCCACAGGCTGAGGCTCTATCCACTGAGCCAAACCGGTTAGGCTTCACATTGATATTTCTTTCTGTCTTTCCCTAACTCTTCTACTCTCTCTAAAAATCAATAGAAAAATATCCTCAGATGAGGATTAAAAACAAAACAAGAAACAAACAAACAAAAACAGGACACAAACTGTGCTTATAATATGATCTCAACTGTCTAAAACTAAGATGAGAAGGAATACAGCAACATATTAATCGCAATTGTGTCTGCTAGATTGAACCATGGATCATTTATATTTTCTTCCTCATACTTTTTTATTTTCCCAATTTTTCATGTTGGGCACCTATATATTATTATATAACCAGACAAAACAAATACTAAAGCTATTCCTGAAGGCCAATACATAAGCAGGATGCATTTCGCAGCGCAAGAACTATATCTGAATTAATTAGTAGCTCTAGCAGCTTCTTTAATATCCACTTCAGAAGCACTTTATTGTGTTGCTTAGAGACACATTGCCCACAACTTTCTTTCCTCCTCTCTGGGGAGCATTTCTACCTGAGCTTCTGGTTATTTAGCTCTTTTCTATTTCCAAACTCTAGAACCACCCTTGGGTACATATTTTTTAAAAATATATTTTATTGATTTTTTTACAGAGAGGAAGGGAGAGGAATAGAGAGTTAAAAACATCGATGAGAGAGAAACATCGATCAGTTGCCTCCTGCACACCCCCTACTGGGGATGTGCCCGCCACCAAGGTACATGCCCTTGACCGGAATCGAAGTGGGGACCCTTCAGTCCTCAAGCCGATGCTCTATATCCACTGAGCCAAACTGGTTAGAGCTTCGGTACATATTTAAAGGCAAGACCAGCCTTTAAATGAAAAATCACAGATGTAGATGTACACTCTCCTGTGCAGGGAACCCAAAGCCAAAGAGTGGCCTCCTTCCTGTGGCCCAGAGTCTGGGCTGCTGCCTACTGACTGGTCTCTGCTCCAAGTCCCCTCTGTTCCTTCTCTGATTCTGAGCCCACGCTCTGTGTGCCTACCTGGCACCATCCCCTCCCCTCACCTCCAGGGTGACTTTGTTTCCCCGTCTGTTGTTCTCTCCATTGAACTTCGCTCTCCCCTCTTCACTGCTTTTTCCATGGAAACAAAACAAAAC